GAAAGGCTACGTTGTATAACGGGGTGGGGGGAGCCGCTGCCCTAGGCCTTTGCACCCAGGCATGGGGCAGCTGCTCCCCTGTAAGTAGTATTTCCTGCACACACTTTTGCTGCTCACTTTTGGGGTGATGTTTGGCAGTTAGAGGACAAGTTGTAACAGCCAGACTGAGCTTCTCAATCAGAAGAGGAGGAAACTGGCACACTATGGGGCCCTTTCCTCCCTTTAAAGTGTTCTGAATATGTGAGTTTGCTATGGGCCTATGAACTGTGTAAACCTCTTCTAAAGCTGGTCAGTGAAATAACACCAGTTTTGGGTGTGTAGAAGTTCAAGTCTAGAACAGGTGATGTTACGGATAAAGGACACTCTCTGTTGAGATGGTTCAGACTTACTTAGGATGAGGGTGTCTGTGCTTAAGCTTAGTCCAGTTCTTAATGCAGTTTGAACCTCTCTACCCTGGCACTCTCTGGTCCGGCAACATCTGTGGTCTGGCATGATTTTAGTTAACTGGATATCCACTTACCATGGATATGGCTAAGTTTTCTGTGGTCCCATAAAATAAACTTACAGCCACCAGCGCTGGCTCTCAATGTTTTGTGCTGTTAATTAGCTCTGATTCACCCCTAAATGGGTTCTGAGAGCCCAGTAAGTAATGGAAGTGTTGGTAATGCTGTTAGACAACTTTGACCTGTGGTTTGGTGAATTCTCTGGTTCTGTCAGGTTCCCAGGGTGCCAGACTAGGGAGGTTCAACCGGTGGTGAAAAGACCCATAATATTTTTGCTAAAAGGCTAATTAATGCAGTTTGGAGAAGTATGAAGATAGAAACTTGATAAGCTTCTGAGTGAAACTGTGCCTGCAAAATTATTGGGTCTTACATATTGTGATGTCAGGTAGATTATATGTGGACATGTAGCTGTAGATATTGAGGATGTACCCCTAGTGAGGTGTTATTTGGCAACATATAGGTCTAGAGTTGCTCCCCATCAAGCTCTCACTTGATAGTTGGGTATTTAAATAATGAAACTTCCTGAAAATAAGTGCTAAGGAAAAAACTGAAAGGAAGGAAAGAGAAAGCAGAAATGGTATCATGTTATATAGAAGCTTCACTCAGGAATGGACTGTTCTCTGTTTTAGGAATGGACTGTTCTCTGTTTTAGGAACAGGCAATAGTGTAAATTATAAGGATGTCAAATGTTGTTTAAAAAGATAACTATGTGACCGATAAAAATCTAGCAGTTACATGTATTGCTGACTCTTCAGTATTAAGCTTAGGTTTATATTGTGGAGCCCACAGTGAAGCCTTCCTGGGAGCCACATCCGTGTAACTTGCCACAGAGGAACAGGGCCGGCCAGGCCTACCATGGACAAGGCTCTGCCTGCAGTGAGGCCTGTGGGGCTTGAGCAGCCCCCTGACTGAGGTTAAGTGGAACCCATAAGGGTGAGGTTTACCAGTTAGCCTTTTACATTCTCAGAAATTACTGGAAATTAAAACTCTAGACACTGAACTTCTGAAGGAGCTTGTCCTTTCTATTTTTACAGCTTTTTTACATAGGGAAAAAGCCCAGGATAATTACTGCAGAAAAACTATTACTGGGACTTAATAGCTATTACAGACTAGTTCCTTATGTATCTACTTTGGAAGTGGATTAACCAAATGCACAAAAAGACACTATTAGTGCAGAATAAGTATGCCCGCTCTGGGAGTTAGTGCAGAACAGCTATTGTACTTTAAATTCACACCTTAGCTATTTCTCAAAAACTTTCCTGTGATTTGCCCATGTAAACAAAGACCTAAATTACACATAGCTTACCATGCCAACAAAACACAATAAACTTGTAAACACTGCTTTTTTGATGGAGACAGCACAACCATGTTGAAAGTTTTGTCTGGCTTTATTTTATTTTTTTAAGTAATTCAGAACAAAAACTCCAACCTTTTAAAAATCCATCTGTCCTGCTATTGGTCCAGACTCCTCCCACCCCAGCACACATACAATTTAGAGGTTTTTGTGGTCTCTGGGGAGCTCATTTTCAGTGCTTCTCACCCCTCCCAAAAGTAGTTGACTAGGAAAGAAGCTAGTTAAATGAAAGGTTTGATAAAGTATTCCCTGCTCCTCCCCCAAATTGGAGGCATAATTACATTGGGAGTATGACTGAATACAGTCATGCTGAAATCTTTGGTAGGGTGGAGGAGGAAAAGTTGGCGATATTGGAACCTGTATCATAATTCGCATACATGGATAAACTGGAATCCAATTCCAGCATTACCAGGCCTTTCTTTCACTCAGTAAGGGTAGAGGCTTGGAATAAATTCTTAAGTCTAATGTACCTAGCTAATGTACAGTATGTACCTAGCTGCTCAGATGTGGTTGCACTTGGCAGCTAGCTCAATCTGCCATAACCACTTGGCTATTTTAATGTGCTAGCTTGATCTGAGCTAGTGAGTTTGTCTGCCTGAGCTGGGTAGACACCTCCCAGGTGCTGGATAGGCATGTCCCAAGAAATAATGAAACACTGGAGAGACAGAGCCCACATATTTGTCCCTGTGAGTCTTCATGCCTTTGACGGCCCAAAGAGTCCCCATTTCACACCTACTTTACAACTTAACCTAAGGCCAAAGATGCTGTTAATTGACAATAGTGATAGATATGTAGCCGTGTTAGTCTGGTCTAGCTGAAACAAAAAACAGGACTATGTAGCACTTTAAAGACTAACAAGATAGTTTATTAGGTGATGAGCTTTTGTGGGCCAGACCCACTTCCTCAGATCAAATTGTGGAAGAAAATTGTTAATTACAAGAAAGAGTGAACCCTAGTCGACTCTTTAACTTTAGCTCAGCCTAGCTACCTCACTCAGGGGTATGAAATATTGACACCCTAGAGCAGAGGTTCCCAAACTTTTTGACACAGGGACCAGTAAATCCATTCACAAACTTTTGGAGGACCTGTATCATTTATTTGCATATTTGCATATTCATTAATCAAATGATGAATATTCAAATAAGTTGTTTCTGGTCCTCCCAAAGCCCCCAGTGCCAGCTTTAGCAAAGCTTTGGATATGGTCACCCACAATATTCTTGCCAGCAAGTTAAGGAATATGGATTGGATAAATGGGCTGTAAAACAGACAGAAAGCCGGTTAGACCAGGGTTTCCCAAACTTTTTACTTTAGTTGGAACCCTTTTTTTTCCGTATTGTTTTTTGCAGCCCAAAAATATAAACACATAAAAAACAAACTGAGAAAATACCAGACATATAACATGTCTGGTATTTTCTTATTGGGTAAGTTTTCTTTTTAGGTGAGTGTGTGTCTCTGATATCGACTTAGCTCTTCCCCCGCTGGGAGGGGGAGGGGGAGGGAGTGTGTGTGTGTGTGAAAGCACAAGGGCAACATGCTGATAAACTGTTTTACTGAAAAAACAGTTTTACAGAGAAAGCAAAGACAGGGTCCAACTATTCCAAAACACACTTTAGAACAGAGTTGTACAGCATTGAACAGTCTTGTATTTCACAGTAAAGCATTTCCACTTAATATACTGAAAAAGTAATTGACAAGTACATTGTTTCCTTTCATACAAATTAACCTAGTAGTGAACTACCGCTTCTGCAAGATCATTTCTTTAGCTAAAATATCAAAACATAAAGCATGCATGATCAAAAAGGATAACTATGAGTGAACTCAGAACTTTGCTTGGTTAGTAAAGTTCGCTCTTTCATCTGCAATGCATTAACTTCAATGACTCAAACTTATCTTCAGCTGTCAAGCCTCCTTACATTCGAAGTTGCATAATGGTTCCTCATTTTTTATGTTCTGTCACACACTCAAGTGAATAACGAGTAGTAGGTATTGATAGCTTGTTATACAAAGTACAGGCACAAATATGCAACAGAGCCAAAATTAGATTCAAATGACATTTTGCCAATCTGCTTACCTGCAAACGCTGGATTTTCTGGACAGATTTCCCCATTCAGTGCTGCTTCTGATGGCTGGCTCCTCCCCCCGACCTCCCCTAGCTATGCCTCTGCCAGGAGCCGAAAGATCCAGCTGCAGCCTCCGCCCATGCCAGCCAAGGGCTTGGGGGACCTGGAGCCACAAAGGTACTCTGGGAGCCCAGAACACCCCAGCAGCCACGCTGAGGACCGGTACTTTTTTCCTGCAGCCCAGTAGCGGGCCCATAGTTTGGGAAACACTGTCCTAGAGTGCTGTGATTATGCCAAACTAATCTCTGGTGTGAAAAGGGAAGAATTTATTACTAACATGCCATGTAGTTCACTGACCATTGTGGGCTTAGAGAATCACAGAGGGGTTTGCATGCGGGAGAAGGTGAAATAAAAGCTTTGTGTTTTGCTACTAACTTTACAAACTTCCATTGCTTGCTTTCTCCTGGTATCTCCTTTGGCTGCGAGGTCATCACCCATTGTGATACTGTGGTCATGAAGATGCTAGCTAGATAATGTGTTCTGCATTATGATATCACTACAGGAATAAGGGGGAGAAACCTGGCTGGAGGGGAAACAGGCTCACCCCACTTGCTCTCTCCAGTCTGCTGTGCTGAGATTCTATACAAAAGTCAACATGGTTTCTGTAAAGGGAAATCCTGTTTTACTAATCTGTTAGAGTTCTTTGAAGGGGTTAACAAACATGCGAACAAGGGGGATCCAGTAGATATAGTATACTTGGATTTTCAGAAAGCCTTTGACAAGGTCCCTCACCAAAGGCTCTTGTGTAAATTACATGGCCATGGGATAAGAGGGAAGGTCCTTTCTTGGATTGAGAACTGGTTAAAAGACAGGAAACAAAGGGAAGGAATAAATGGTAAATTTTCAGATTGGAGAGGGGTAACTAGCGGTGTACCCCAAGGGTCAGTCCTGGGACCAGTCCTTTTCAACTTATTCATAAATGATCTGGAGAAAGGGGTAAGCAGTGAGGTAGTAAAGTTTGCAGATGATACCAAACTGTTTAGGATAGTCAAGACAGAAGCAGACTGTGAGGGACTCCAAGAAGAGCTCACCAAACTGAGTGATTGGGCAACAAAATGGCAAATGAAATTGAATGTGGATAAGTGTAAAGTAATGCACATCGGGAAAAATAACCCCAACTATACGTACAGTATGATGGGGGCTAATTTGGCTACGACAAATCAGGAAAGAGATCTTGGAGTTATCGTGGACAGTTCTCTGAAAACTTCCACACAGAGTGCAGCGGCGGTCAAAAAGGCAAATAGGATGCTAGGAATTATTAGGAAAGGGATAGAAAATAAGACCCAGAATATCTTACTGCCTCTGTATAAAACTATGGTACGCCCACATCTTGAATACTGTGTACAGATGTGGTCTCCTCACCTCAAAAAAGATATTTTGGCCTTGGAAAGGGTTCAGAAAAGGGCAACTAAAATGATTAGGGGTTTGGAACGGGTCCCATATGAGGAGAGGTTAAAGCGACTGGGATTTTTCAGTTTAGAAAAGAGGAGACTGAGGGGGGATATGATAGAGGTCTATAAAATCATGAGTGGTGTGGAGAAGGCTGATAAAGAAAAGTTATTTATTAGTTCCCATAGTATAAGGACTAGAGGACACCAAATGAAATTAATGGGTAGCAGGTTTAAAACTAATAAAAGAAAGTTCTTCACACAGCGTGTTGTCAACCTGTGGAACTCCTTGCCAGAGGAGGCTGTGAAGGCTAGGACTATAATAGAGTTTAAAGAGAAGCTGGATAAATTCATGGAGGTTAGGTCCATAAAAGGCTATTAGCCAGGGGATAAAATGGTGTCCTTGGCCTCTGTTTGTCAGAGGCTGGAGAGGGATGGCAGGAGACAAATCGCTTGATCATTGTCTTCGGTCCACCCTCTCTGGGGCACCTGGTGCTGGCCACTGTGGGTAGACAGGATACTGGGCTACATGGACCTTTGGTCTGACCCAGTACGGCCGTTCTTATGTTCTTATAAAGTCCTCTTTTTATCAAGGTCTGAGAATGCTATATACAAGTGATGGGCTATCCCCTAATGTCTCCCTTGAAAAATTGCAATAAATGTAATTACCTTTACTATTGTTTTTGATTTACAAAGCTGCAGAATTCCCTCCTTGAGCATATCCCCCAGAGTCCCTCTGTAACTATCTTTAGGACTTCTGCAAAGTCTATTAATTTCTACATTGTATGTGTGTGTATATGGAGGGGGGGGGTGTTAGTATATTTTTTCAACAGCTCTTCCTTCTTACCTGCTTTATTTTGGAAGTTATTGTCTGGCCCATTGACCCAACTGGATTTGTTTAGCTATTTTGAATTGTGCAGCGTCCCAGATGTGTCTGCAAACTTTAGAAATAAATAGTAAACTGAAGCCTTTGACATTTAGTAAAAGTGACCAGGAAGTCAATTGTTAGGCAGGGGGTAATCAATTCTTTTATTGATAAACATTTATTGTCGCTTGTGTGAATTCCTGCTCTACATTTTTTAGACAGAACCAAAATTGGCTTTGATTTTTTTTCCAGCTGTTGTGGGGTGAGACGAAGCATGGAGGGTCATTTTGTTTTCAGAATTCTTTCACAATAGATGCTCTAGGCTTTTTGTGTGCCTCTCTCTGGCCTCCTCCCGAAACTGCAGATATGGTGAATAGGCTTGTTCTGTTTCTGACGTGATTTTTGCCTTAAGATTGATGTTTAACCTTTTTATCTAATTACCCAGGAAATAGTGTAATCTTTTTATGGAAAAACCCATCCTAGAAATTGAGAAGCTATATTCTGGCAAGAATGGATCATCCTCAGAGATGTCTTGGCTTTCTTGAAGACTGTTGCTATGATGCTGATCAGGGAAACAGCTACTAAAGGGTGAATAAATACTAGCCTGCTCATCATGTGTGGGCATCCTTACCTACACCTGGACAGTGGTGGAAAAAGTACCCAAAAAACTTACTTGAGTAAAAGAACTGCTACTTTGGAAAAAAAATGTAATCAAGTAAAAGTCAAAGTATCCTTCTGGAAAACTACTTGAGTAAGAGTACAAATGTATCACATCTTAATTGTACTCAAGTATCCAGAAGTAAAAGGTAGCCATCCTATGGAAATCTATGGTTAACCACCCAAATTATAATAGGGCACCATTATTTGGCTCAGAAGCCACAAAAGTGAAAAGCAACCCTCCCAAAAAAACCCAAAAAACTCTCACTGATAAAGCCCCGAACTGAGGTACCTCATTCCCCTGGTGCTCCAGCCCCACGGCAGGGAGGCAGGGAGAACCAAGCTTTAGGGCTTCCAACAGGCCAAATTAACTCTTTTAGGGTCCCAGGGTTAGTAGATTTTGTGAGACCCCCAGCTCTAGGGCGAGGCCAAAATGAGGGGTTCAATGGGCAGAAGGGGGTTGCCAGGGAGTGGGATTGGGTGTGGGTCTGGATGGGAGGTAGGGTGCTGGAGTGGGCTGGGAGTGAAGGTCTTGCTGGGAGGGAAGTGCAAGAGCGGACTGAGGGTGGGGTGGATGGGAGGGTATAGGGCAGACCGGGGTTGAGAGAGCTGGGCAGGGAGGGGGGGTGCAGGAGAGAGATGGGGGTGCAGGGTCTGGCCATGAAGGGAGCCAAAATCTAGCCAATGAGAGCAGCAGGGAAACCCTCCCATGAGCGGTTTCCAGCACCACATTCCCCCAGCTCGGGGAAGGGGAGCGGCAGCGCACGGTGCTGCGCTTCTTCTCCCTGACACGCCAGATCTGGCCTGCAATGCCTGGGGCTCCCCACCCCTGCATAGATACTGGTTTTGAATGAAACGGTGTTGATGTGGCTGTTAAAAAGCTTCTTCATTGGCAGGGTCATTGTGCTTGTTTATTGGTTGTGGGGGATTTTTAATTGTCACTGCATGACAATTGGATGCTTTGCGCATGCAGCTGTGCTTTAGCAAATCAGAATGCTGGCTTGCACAACTATCAGTAGGGTTCTAAAAGTAGTGAGTAACTAAGTGCTTCAGGAAATGGTAGTGGAGTAAAAAGTACAATATTTTCTAAAAAATACTACTTGAATAAAAGTTGAAGTATCACAAAAATAAATTACTTAAGTACAAATACTGAAAAAACATACTTGAGTAGTATAACAAAGTATTTCTACTTAGTTGCTTTCCACTGCTGCACTTGAAGCAGTCCTACTCTCGCTAAATATCTGGCTTGAGTAGGGCACAATAGACAGGAGGCTTATTTAATGTGGAATAATGGATGGGTTAGTGAAAGTGGGCGTACTAGAGTCCTAGGAGGCATGAAAATAGGGGTACATGAATTTTTTTTGAAATAATGTGCTGCTTAAAAGTTCCTACTGTAACCCCAACCATTCTATTGTTAGGTCTTTCACCTTCCTTCAGCCAATATCTAAGTGTAAGCTCTGTTTCTCTATGTTTTGTGACATTCCCAGTAATCCACAGTGGGGGAGAAGTCTTAAAACCTCTCTAAATACATGGTGTTAATTTAGACTTTGTATGATTAACCTGATTCCTAAAAATCTCACTTACAACCTGTTGGTGAAATCAGTGCTGGCAAAAATCAAAAGGCTCTTTGTGTAGACCATGTACGTACACTGCTTAGTATAATTATAATAACATTACTTATCTACAGGTTGAACTTTTCTTGTCTGACACTCTCTGGTCTGGCAACATCTGTTGTTTGGCATTATTTTAGTTAGTTGGATGTCCGCTTATCATGTACAAGTTTCTCACAGTCCCATAAAATTTGTTTACAGCCACCAGTCCTGGCTCTGTGTTCTGTGCTGCTATTTAGCTCTAATTTACCCCTACATGTCTTCTAAGAGTCCTGTAAGCAGTGGAAGCCTTGGTAATACTGTTAGACAATATTGACCTCCCATGGTTCGGCAAATTCTCTAGTTCTGCACCAGTCTGGTTCTGAGGGTGCCAGATTAAGGAGATTCAACCTGTACTATGTATTTCAGTTTTTATGGCTGTGAGTTTCTGTCAGTTTGTTCAAGAACTCCTCCTAAACAGTAAGGCTGCGTCTACACTGGCATGATTTTGCGCAAATACTTTTAACGGAAGAGTTTTTCCGTTAAAAGTATTTGCACAAGAGAGCGTCTATACTGGCATGTGCCTTTGCGCAAAAGATTTGCTTTTGCACAAAAGCATCCGTGCCAGTGTAGATGCTCTCTTGCACAAGAAAGCTCCGATGGCCATTTTAGCCATCGGGCTTTCTTGCTCAAGAAATTGATGTTATCTGTCTACACTGGCCTCTTTCGCAAGAACACTTGCGCACGAGGGCTTATTCCTGAGTGGGAGCGTCAGAATATTTGCGCAAGAAGCACTGATTTTGTTCATTACAACGTCAGTGTTCTTGCGCAAATACTAAGGGCCAGTGTAGCCAGGCGGCAAAATCTTGCCAATGTATACATAGCCTAAGAGCTAGGACTACCAAATTTGGTATACAGCTTCCTCTTACCATGACTTAAAACAAGGTAAGGGTTTGGATGTGCCTGAATCAGATTTTCTGTATGGTTTTATGAGAAGTAAAGAGACAGAATCATCAGGCAGGTGAAGGGGGCTGTCTGGGAGTGGGATCTTCCCCTCTGCCCCCCCCCCCCCCCCCCCCCCTCCCCACCCCGCCGCCCCCCCCGCACGTCCCCCGTTCCATCCAGGATTGCCCCATTCCCGAGCTTCCCCCTCCCCGGGCAGGAGCCCCACCCCCCATTTCATACAGGGATATTGCTGGCTGTTCCCTTGCTGCATTCCTCACTCTGGATGGAGAGCTCAGGGGTCAGATGAACATGGACCTGCTCCAGCTGGGGGACATGCATCCCCTTGGTTGTGCCTGCTGGAGCTGCCATGACCATGGACAGGCATTTCTCACCTGGTCCCAAGCTGCTGCCGCCGTGAGAGAGAGCTGGAATAGCCCTGTCTTCCTAGGGCAGCCTCCATATTGAACCCCTCATCCCCAGCCCCACCTGAGACTACCACCTCCCCAGGCACTCTTTATGGAGGGCAGGAGGCAACCCCTCCCCTCCCCATGATTTATATGGGGACATTGCTGACCTGAGCAATGCCTGGTAAATCTTCTAGGCCCATATAACGAAGATTCTGAATTGGTTCTTCACATGCTATGACTATATAAATTAATGCCTACAATAGGGAATTTTTTAAAATTACCTCCAGAGATGCAAACCCTAGCATAGACAAAGTTTCAGTGGGTGATGGTAGTTTAGCAGCTGTTAGTTGACTTTTCTAAAACTTGGAAAAGTGTAAGCTAATGTGGCTGAGGAAAAGTAATCTAAACACACTTGTTAATGGGGAGGGAGGAAGCTGGGAAGGTAGTACTGATAGAACTACAGGGCTAATAATGGATGGCAAGTTTTTACACGATTTTGCAGTTTCCCATAGTTGCACAAAAGGCCATTGTGATTTGTGGAATGCATACGCAAAGGAGCCATCTTTTGGAGCACAGAAGTAGTAGTGCCAGCATGTGATCCTGCTGCAACTGAACCTGGAATTTAACTTTCAGTTTTTGAACCCAAATTACTAGAAAAACATTGACAAATTAAAGGGAATTCAGTGAACAACAACAAAAATAAGGGAGATGGAGGGATTGCCTTTTGAGACAAGATTTAAAGAGCTGAAAATACAGTTTTTCTAAAGCGTAGCAGAGGACCATAGATCTACAAATATTTAGTACACGTTGTACCTCCCTAAACCACAGCTCTCTGGGTCTGGCAACATCCGTGGTCTGGTTTGGGAGGGAGGGCAGGGTGGTGGGCTTGGGGGGCTAATAGCAGGGGACCTCCCCTTATCCTGCAAATTCCCTCATTCAGGACCAGTCAGATCCTGAGGGTGCCAGACCAAGGAGGTCTAACCTGTAGTGTAAATACTAAGGAAGAAGAGAAATTTAATATCAAGTAGAATTCTATATGTAACAACAATGAGATGAAGTTGAGAGAATTTAGACTGTATTTCCTGAGAAATTTCTTCACAATGAGGGGGGTATTAAACTGAAATAGCCCTCCAACCCCAGAAAATGGGTAGCCTTGCTTGGGGCTTTAAAAACTAAAACTTAACATAGCTAAAAATATAAGAAACATTCCTGTTTTTGTAGAGAGCAGGACTGTCTGAGATTTTCTGTATTTAACTGCAATGGAAATGTGAGGAAGAAGGATGCACCCTATCTGGTGTCATTTATAAGGTCAAAAGAGGCTGTAAACTAAATCTGTGCCTTTGGAGAGTTTTGTAACAGCCAGATCTATTTCACAAAGTTTCCTGAAAAGAAATATTTTAAGGTTCAGAAACTCAACAGGCAATTCAGCAAGGTACTTTGTCTTCTGTGTTCTTTGCTTTTTATCCTTCATTCTGTCACAATTCTCTTAATTGGTTGTAGGATTACTGAACTGTTTCTTCTTGCCCAAACATAAACTTTGTGTAGCAGATATGATATCTTGGCTCAGCTGCTGGCTTGCATATGTTGTTTGCTGTTACGAAAAGAATGTAATATCTCTATGGTAGAAGGCCTTAAATGTGCATTCAAGTAGACTCTTGGACGCTGCAGTAGATGATATGTCCTTCTCTGGTATAGATTCTGGATAACGGATTGCAATCTCTTCAAGTTACTGATATGTCTGTCAATCCTATTTTCAATTTCTAGTTTTATTAAATATGTGTACTTTTTATACAATGGAGAATAGTTTTCTGAAATGCAGAAACTAAAGGCTTGAAGAGTTGTTAGAAATGTAGTAAAAATAAACTTTGCTAAAAGGTGAATTTTGCAAAATGAGATGAAAAATTAATTTGGCACTTTTATGCCTGCAGAACACAATGATCTTCAGCTTACTCCTCTGAACAATTAAATCTGTATTGTTGGTCTGTAGTCTAAATTATCATGCCTGCTATGCCTCAGTATGAAAGGTAGTGCCCATAGCATGGAGCCCTCAGGATAGGAGAACTTTTCCAGCAGAAGAGCCTTAGAACAGCATACAGAAAATACTTGTATATCCCACTCAGTGAATTAAAATGTGAATTTGAAAAACGTCTCTCAAACTGAAAAAGAGGCTCTCCTAGCTTTCCTGCAAATAAATGGGACCATGCTGCAATATGTATCTGATGGTGTTAAGTTTATAGTCACAACCAGTGTTGCTTGTAAGCAGTGTACTTATGCAGCCACTCAGAACAAGATTAAAGTGGCACCCAGCTGATTGGTAGAGCATGCACAGCTAGGTTTTTTGTTTCTACTTGTGGTGCACATTCACACATACTTCAGTGCGTATGCCAAAATTTCTACCCATGGATGGAAAAAATCCACATGTAGGTAGAAAAGATTAGAGTGAACATTGGCCACAACCTCATCACCATTGTTGTGTGCTGTGGCTGTCTGTGCTCAAAGGAAGTTATTCAGCACTAGAAATGTGAATGGCTAACCAATAAGCCTCACCCTTAATTGGTGAAGCTTACTGGTTCTCATTAACTGGTAAGGACTGGACCAATTCCCCCGCCTGCCGGGGGCAGAGGGCTGCTCCAGCCGTCTGTCTGGAGCAGCCCCAGTCCTTGGCAGATCTGGCCTTCCCACCCACCCACAGGCAAGGGCTGCTATGGCCATCCATCTGGAGCAGCCCTTGTCTGTGGTGGGCCCGGCCCCCCTTTAATTATGTTTCACATAATGTTTAACCAGTTAACCAATTACACAGGATTTTACAACCCTATTCAACACACATTGTATTTAAATCATTACAGTGTCTCTGGAACACAGGAAAATTAGAAGAAAGTTTTATTTCTCCCCCTTTTAACAAGTTTTGACTCATGGGATTGTTTTCTAAACCTCGTAGGTAGCAGTGTTGTATTGTAACTTATTGAGCATTGTAGCACTGAAAGAAGATTAGTTGAGTTAAATGGACGGAGGTGAAGTTGTTCCCCAGGGAACTATTCTCTAAAGCAGGGCTACTCAACACGTGGCCCACGGGCTGCCCATTTGTTTGTGGCTCACGGTGCGGTTTGGGTTTACGCGGGGCTCAACACATGGCCTGCAGGTGGCATCTTTTGAACATGGCCTCCCCTGGGAACACATTCCACAATGATGAGTCAATATAATGGTTATCTGTTGATATGCTTTTTAGTAGTTAAATTCCTGGACTGTCATTGCTCATTAAAAGTGCTGTCATATGGGTGGAAATTGGGTAAACACTGCATTTTATTAATATCAGCTGAACTGACTTAAATAGGGCCTGCGGGTTGTGTAGTCTTGCCTTAATCTTTGTATTCATCTGTCAGTGTGAAAGAAGCTATTTGAATATATTTGCATATTACCATATATATGCAACCATACTTAAGTTGCGGCCCTCGGCATGTGCTGTGAGTATCATTGTGGCCCCCAGGGCTTCCAAAGTTGAGTAGCCCTGCTCTGAAGGTGGTTATTCATTCCCTGAAGATGGAACAAATTGCGAAAAGTGAAAATGAGAAAACAAAGGTCAAGTTCTTTGGGAACCTTGGTGTAATTTCCAGACTCTTGTCTCCCCGACTGGTAGGCCCTGGGATTGCTGCGGAGGCTGTGTGCTTGCTGCTGCTGAAGAAGTAGTGGTAGTAGTAGTAGTATCTGGAATCAGTAAGTAGTGCCCCCTACTTTTC